ACTTATTGTTCTCCAAACCACACTGTTAATTTGATGTATGCTTATGCTTTAATTATAACATGTTACTCGATCTACAAGCTATGTCTCGGAGCGCGCAAGGGTCACGTCCGTACACTTCGGAATATGGTGAAAGACTAGCCACGTGGAAATGGCTTGCACACCCCACGCTGGGAATTCGAAAGATTCGAATTCTCCATGGTGCGGACATATACATGTCATTCCATCTTCGTCTGAACGACGGAACTCCGTCATAATGGCCCTCATTCACAGGCAATTGTAACGAGTGCTGGCCTCTCCTTCTCATTGACTTTTTGTAGTCGCGTCCGGTTTCCTGTGCCCGAGCTAAATATATGACTACTCGTAAATGTCAGAACTCCGGACTCCTTGGCCCTCCCAGAATCTAGAAATTTAACATAAACACCGGATTGCACGTCCCAGACAATGAAATACGATATTGTAGATCACAATAAAGTTCCAGTAATATCGAAATATAAGATTTTGAATTTAAAAATTACCGAGAATAAATTAGAAATAAAGTTCATGGTCATTTATGATCATCCAAATAAATAAGGGCTAAGACTGTTCAGCGTCACCCTTTAAATACTGAGAGATGACGTAACATCCAGAACTCTGTTTCCAGATCATTCCCGAAGTGTTCTCTCTTGTTCTTTAATTGAGAATGTTCTGGAAGCTTCTTCTATCAGACCGGCAGTGGGATGAGTAATCGTCACATGCCACACCGACTATTAAAGAACAACCTTCTAGTAGCATCTTATCTGCATATTGCTCATTGCGATTTCTTAGAACAGTTAATGCAAGACTGGGCATAAGTTACATTTAGTATGAAATTGGTACCAAGTAACAACATAACTTTTGAAATTTACGTCGGTAGGTACGGACAGGTTACATCTTCTCTCTTTATTGGACACAGCCATAAAATTAAGATACCGTGAAAAAAAGTTCCCACCCATTGCTACAGAACATATACAGTTGTGAGACTTCTGCCATTTAGTGACAACTTTCACCTTCTATAATAGCATTTCATGCCGCTCCGTTCTTTAACAACAAAGGAACCACTTACCACAAAAAAGGAAATAGATCGTAATTTCCAGATCTGATTGAGATATTGGTACCATAGTCTGAATTTTTTTATTTTTTCAAATGTCATGACTCCCTCAGTTGCACTCACAATCTTCATATATTCTGAACATTTGAAATATTTTTAATATTGCACGGATCTGATGAAGTACAAAGACTGATCACTGCCACATGGTATCATGCAAGGAGTAAGCACTTGCAAACTGACAGGAAAAAAAATTAAATTAAATTTCAGCACATATAATTTGTGTGGTGATAATGTAAATAAACATAGAGTGATGAATGTTTTACATTAATTACTGTAAGCCTAAAAGTAAACCAACCATAAATTTACAGGTCAGCCAAAGTATGGAGTCTTATTTACCAGTGCTTACTTACTTACTTACTTACTTACTTACCTACTTACTCATGGAACTGAGTCCTTCTGGTGGAGCCGCCAATTCTGCAGCTACTCAAGAATTTCCCAGCATTTTATGGAACCCGAAGGTTCACTACCATGTTCACAAGAGCCCTCCACTCTTCCATATCTTCAGCCAGATCAATCCAATCCATACCATCCCATCCTATCTCTCTAAGATCCATTTTAATATTGTCCACCCATCTATGCCTTGGTCTTCCCATTGGTCTCTTTCCTTCTGGCATTCCCATCAATATCCTATACACATTCCTCGTCTCTCCTATTCGTGCTACATGCCCTGCCCACTTCATCCTCCTTGACTTGATCCTTCTAATTATACTTGGCGAAGAGTACAAGTTATGAAGCTCCTCATTATGCAGTTTTCTCCAACCTCCTGTCACTTCATCTCTCTTAGGTCCAGATAAAATCCTCAACACCCTGTTCTCAAACACCCTCAGTCTATGTTCCTCCCTTAATGTCAGAGACCAAGTTTCACACCCATACAGAACCACAGGCAAAAATATGGTTTTGTATATTCTAATTTTTGTGTTTTTGGACAGCAGATGAGAAGACAAAAGGTTCTGAACTGAATGGTAGCAAGCATTACCTGATTTCAATAGCTTCTTAATTTCCTCCTGAATTAGGTTTCAATCTGTTATCGTTGTTCGCAAATACTGAACAGTGCCACATTTTCAAAACATCTGTTTCCTATCTTTATGTCATGATTTTGCCCTGCATTTTGGTGACAAGACAGTAACATATACTTAGTTTTCTCTGTGTTTATTTCTAGACCAACCTCTTTACTTGAGTCTATTAAAGTTTGTGTGCTTTTCTTTATGGTATCTACATTATCACCCAGTAGATTCACATCATTGTCATAGACCAACAGCTGATGTGTCTCGTACAATTTCAGTCCCACCTGGTTTCCCTGGATCTTCCTAAGGGCATACGCTAAAGGAAAGTTGAAAAGAAGTGGTGATAAAGTATTCCCTTGTTCTAGACCATTTTGGATAGGGAATTTATCAGACAAATGTCTGCCTACACGGACTTTACTATACGTTTCGTTTAAACACATTTTAATCAACCTAACTTGTTTCATGGGTATCCCAAACTCTATCAGAATATTGTACAATATTTCCCTCCTAACTGAATCGTAGGCTTTCTTGAAGTCTGCAAATAGTTGATGTACTGTGTCATCGTACTCCCTATTTTTCCTCCAATATCTAATGATGCAAAAGATCTGATCTGTAGTTGATCTGTTATGTCAAAACTCACACTGATGATCCCCAATAATTTCATCTATATATGGACTTAACCTTGATGGAAGAATATTGGACAAAATTTTGTATGAAGTTGATAGAAGTGAAATCCCTCGATAATTACTACAATCAGTTTTATCACCCTTCTCGTGAACTGGGACAATAATAGACTCCTTCCACTGATCAGGCAATTTTTCCTTATGCCAAACAGAATTAATTAGCTTATGGATCTCAGAACCTAATATTTCACCTCCTGCTTGAATAAGTTCTGCTGGAATTTGATCACTACCTGGCGATTTATACCATTTCAATTTTGCAATAGCACTCTCAACCTCAAAAGGGCTAGGATCAGATACTAACGGCTCAGCTGTATGGATTTCTGTCTCCCTAACAGCACTGACCCTATGTACATTCAACAACTGAGAGAAGTAGTTCCTTCTCCTATTCAAAACGTTGTGGGACTCTGCAAGCAGATCACCATTCTCATCCTTCACTAAGTTACTGCTAGGCTGGTAACCCCTCTTAAAGTCATTTATTCCTCTATACAGGTCTCTATGTTCTTGTTCTTACTGTTCATTGCAAGCTCATCAATTTTGTCTTTCAGATATTCCCTCTTTTTGTTCCTGAAATGCCTGCTGTTTTCACGTCTTATATTGTTCAGATTATTCCCATTTAACTGGTTTGGATCCTGTAACCATTGCAATTTGGCCTGCTTTCTTTGATCTAATAATTTTGAGCATCCTTCATCGAACCATGGCAATCCCTGTAACAGGCTGTGAAGGCCCATAGGGTTGTGAGACGTTAAGGGTCCCACATTACCTTGACAATAGGCTCAAAGATGGTGGTAAGGTTGTCAGCCTTACGCGTCAGCCGCGCTTCACTCCCCAGGAAAATTATTTAATTAATTCCTGGTACTCATTTCTGTTGGAGGCTGAGTAAACCCCAGGGCCCAGTGCGGCCAGAAGGATTAGGTCAATTGAAAAAAATCCAATGACCTCATTGGGACTTGAACCCCTTCTTTACCCTCTACCTCATTTAATTTCTTGAGAATGAACCTCTCCATATGAACTCTGTGTGTTGTTTGTTTGTTCACTGCCAGTCTTTCCCTAACCTTTGCCACCACCAAGTAGTGGTCAGTATCACAATCTGCTGCCCTGAATGATCAGACATCAAGTATACTTGAGGGTCTGCTCCTATCTATCAAAATATGGTCTATTTGATTGTGTATCTTCCCATCAGGAGATGTCCAAGTAAATTTATGGATGTTACGATGTGGGAACATTGTACTTTTGACAGTAAGATATTTTGATGTGGCAAAGTTTACAATTCTAACTCCATTATCATTACTAATTTCATGCAAACTCTCATTTCCAATTGTTGGTTTGAAAATGTCTTCCCTCCCTACTTTGGCATTGAAATCTCCTAACAAAATTTTCATAGGGTACTTTGTGAATTTATCAAATACATGTTCTAGTTCTTCATAGAATCTATCCTTTATATCATCAATTTTATCTTCTCTTGGGGAATGAACATTCATAACAATGATATCACACCAGTGACTTTTTAGTATTATGTATGATATCCTATTACTAACTAACTCTACCCTCTTAACTGCTGATGCGATTCTCTTATGTATGAAAAAACCTGTACCTAATTCTTGATTTTCATTCCCCTTTCCATAGAAAAATGTATAGTCTCCTGCTGGGGCGATGCCACCTCCATCCCATCTGACCTCCTGTACTCCCGCTAAATCTAACTTATATTTTAAGGTTTCTTCTGCCACTGCCCTGAGCAAACCTGCCCTATACAAACTTTTAACATTCCAAGGGCCAAATCTCATATCCATTTTCTCTAGCTTAGGTCGTTTATCCAAGGAATCCATCCAGGTCCAAGGCTTTGTGTTCATTTTCGTAACATACTTATTTTTATGGTGAGGAGTCGTTAGCCCCACGCCCAACCCCCAAGCTGGAGGACCACCCCTTGTCAGCTATCCGCGACTGCTTATTCAACATATTTGCAGCTTCCCTCCAAAACTGGAGGACGTCTCCTCCATCCACAGCCTGAGGACACGCCATGCCATGGTGACAAGGGACCCACCTAACATGGGATTTACCAGTGCTATAATATTTTAAACTAGACTGGCAATTTACATATAAATTATAAAATGAAGGTTGTAGTTTGGATACGATAGAAATATAATGGATGTAATTAGTCTATTATCTGCCCTTAGTAAAACATCACATCCATAAATGTAAAACATTTATTACTGACAGGTAAATACAACAATTCAAAAAGTCTTTATCGATTTCGTTCTTGCTATGTTCCATATGTTTGCTATGAAAACACAGTTTACAGATATGATACTGAATTTATCATCATTAATGTAACTGGGACTCCACTCCAACTTAACCAAGCACTGCTCTCTGAGAAACAAGAAAGAGAACAAAATTACAACACGCATTTTGCTTAAAATATATTATGTCTATACCAATAATTATATCTGGAAACATATTATATGGATATGCATTTACTTTCATACTGAAAGTCATGAGCAACAATTTTTTGTAAAGTAACATGCTTTATTACTAACAAACCAAATACACCACCTCAATCTACAGAACTTTCTTTATTTTTCCACATAATCGCCACTTCTTTGTACACATTTCTCCCAGCGTTCTGGGAGTTTGAAAATTCCCCTTCTGTAAAATTCTGTTCCAGCAACCAAAGACACTGACGCACTGCTCTCTGAATTGCCTCCCTAATCTCAAAACGTTGTCCATGCAGCTGATCCTTCACAAATCCGAAAACATGGTAGCTGGAGGGTGCCAGATCAGGGCTATAGGAGGGGCGTGGAAGAACTTTCCACCCCATCTTGCAATTGCTTCCACTGAGAGGCGAGCAGCATGGGGACGAGCGTTGTCATGCAGGATGATGATGTTTCGTCCCGGACGTTTATCACGCAATGCACGACGGAGCTTGTGCAGCGTCTGGACGTAACAAGCAGCATTGATGGTTTGCCCAGGTTCCACGAATTTGGCCAGAATAAACCCCTCTGTATCCCAGAAGACTGTGCCCATCACCTTCGCAGCTGATGGTACTGTCTTTGCCTTCTTTTCTGATGGAGAATGCAAATGGTGCCATTCCATACTCTGCCGCTTTGTTTCAGGCTTGAAATAGTGAAAACCGCTTTCATCACCTGTCACAATACAGAGCAAAAAATCATCGCCTTCATGTCGATATATCTGCAGCAGTTCTGAGGTGATGGCTTTTCACTGACCTTTGTGGTCTTTGGTCAATAACCGCAGGACCCAACAAGCACAAACTTTCCTATAGCCCAAGCTTTCAATCATCTCCTGTATTGCACTGTGCCCTATTCCAAGTTTTTGGGCTATTGTGTCCACAGTCCCATGCCTGTCATCTTGAATGATCTCATCCACTCTTTCCTTTGCATTCAGTTGAGGCTGTTCGGGGGCAACCGCTCCGAGGCTCATCTTCAATGCTGGTGTTCCCATCTTTAAAATGTTTCACCCATCTTCAAACACTGCTCACACCCATGCACACACTTCCATAAGTAAGCTGAAGTCTCTGGTGAATTTCTGCAGCAGGGATTTCCTCTTTCACAAGAAATTCGATGACAGCACACTGGCAAAATGACATAATCTTGTTAGGAGTGATACTAGTCACGTGATGCAAGCTATTGACGTCACAAGACACTTAAGGTTAACACAACAGCTGGTTCCACCTACCACCATACTCTCTTTCATCTGCTGTTCCCAGGTTGCATGCAAAAAAAAGTTGCTCATGACTTTCGGCACAACCTACATATATTGATTCTGAACACAATTTAATAAATCATTTTTATCTGACTTGTCCAGTATATATATTAATTAACCATATTATTTTCCATTCTTTTGGAATATATTACACATAAAATAAAACCATGAATTGAAACAAATTAAGCCATCTGTAGTATGGATCACAGATTAACAACATTTATTCTCTGTGCATTCAGCTATGTGTGCCCATGTAATGTTTGAATCTGCAATCCAGTTTTCATGAAACAGATTGTGGGTGCTTGAGAACAAATTGCTGGAGAGAACATGATAAGACATTTCAAAATAGATCTACACCATGTAGTTATTTAAATTATGTAAAATTTGGAAGTTTCATGTGACATTGCCCAGAAAACTAGTCACACCAATGTGAGGTTTGTTGGTCTTTTCTGGCGACATGACAAGCCATGGATTAACAGGTGTGTAAGGGAGATTAATCTTCGGCTTGAGCGTTCGCTTGTGGAGGTCGGCGCGGCCCACATTGATGCGATTGATGTCTCTTCAATATTGAGGAGCGAACATACTGTCCATGGTTTGCATCTTAATCCTCGAGGCAAGGACAAGCTGACGCGACTCATTGCAGAGAGCATTAAGGGCAGACACATTCCAGTTGTCATGGGTGTTCAGAATCATTTTTTAGGATAAAGAGTGCAAGTAAAGTTTATCAAGTAAAAGAAATTGCAAAAGAAACTAATCTTTCAGACAATAATGTTAGTGAACCAATAGAAATCGGAAAAGGTAATTGCAGTCTACTAAATTCAGTGAATAATAAAGTACTAAGAATATTCCATCAGAATATAAGAGGATTGAGAAACAAAACAAATGAACTAATAAGCTCCATGAATTCAAATCTTCCACACATACTGTGCCTTACTGAACATCACATGAAACAGCTGGAATTAGAACATCTTCACTTAGAAAATTATAATTTAGGTGCTAGATACTGTAGGAAAACACTGGAGAAAGGAGGAGTGAGTATTTTTGTACATGAAAACCTAAAATTTACTAAAATAAATTTAGAAGATTATTGCAAAGACCAGGATCTGGAAGCATGTGCTCTAAAGTTAGACTCTCCTTTTTCTAATATTTGTATACTGACTTTATATAGAGCCCCATCTGGAAACTTCGATCACTTTATAAATAGATTAGAAACCATCCTAAATGTACTGCATAGTTCAAAAGTTGAATTTATAATTTGTGGTGATATAAATATAAACTATCTCATCGACAGTAATAGGAAACTAAATTTAGACTCTTTGTTATCATCTTACAATCTCTCCAGTACTGTTAACTTTCCCACAAGAGTTCAAAATAATTCTAGTTCAGCGATAGATAATATATTCATTGATAACTCAAAATTAAGAGACTATACTGTAGGACCCTTTATAAATGGCTTATCCGATCATGATGCTCAACTCATAGAAATAAATAATATTGACCTTCAGCCCAGTAATCAACAATATCAAACAGTAAGGAAAATCAACAAGCATACGATGGCAGATTTTGTCACAAAATTAAGTAATGAATCATGGGACAATGTATTTGACAGCAATAATATTGATTCTAAATTTAATTGCTTTCTGAACACATACTTGAGGATCTTTTATTCAAGCTTTCCCTTAAAAATAGTCAAAAATGAAAATAAAAACAAATCCACCTGGATAACAATTGGAATAAAAACTTCATGTAAACACAAAAGACAACTATATTTGGCCAGTAGGGACAGTAATGATCCAAGACTAAAAAGTCACTACAAAATGTACTGTAAAATTTTGTCAAAAGTCATTAAAGAAGCCAAACAGAATAACTATAACAGCCAAATTCTAAAATCAAACAATAAAATTAAAACCACCTGGGATATTGTGAAAGTTGAATCAGGAAAGAAATCTGTTAATGAAGACGTACAAAGTTTGAATATTGAAGGGAAGTCCACTAACAATCCACAAGCTATCGCAAGTGCATTTAATGAATATTTCCTTTCATTAGCTGAGAAAACATATTCCAATAATAATAATAATAATAATAATAATAATAATAATAATAATCCAATATACTATCTGTCTCGTGCCTTTAACAATTCATTTCCAAATATCAATCTCAAATTCTCAACAAGGAAGGAAATTGAAAACATTATTAAATCCCTTAAGCCCAAAAATTCACATGGATATGATGAAATCTCTACCAAATTACTTAAAGCAAGCTCTGTTTACATCAGTTCACCCTTGAATCATCTATGTAATAAATCTTTATCATCAGGTACTTTTCCTCAACGCTTAAAATACGCTGTAATGAAACCACTTTTTAAAAAAGGAGAGAGAAAATGCATCTCTAATTACAGACCAATATCCATATTGACTTCATTCTCAAAAGTCTTTGAAAAAGTTATGTATAATAGACTACTTGAACACTTAAATTCTAACAACATATTAGTCAAAGAGCAATTTGGATTTAGGAAAGACCTAACAACAGAAAAAGCAACCTATGAACTAACTAACGATATTTTAAGTGCTCTCAATGACAGATTAATTGTGGGAGGGATTTTCTGTGATCTAGCAAAAGCTTTCGATTGTGTTAATCATGATATCTTACTATCGAAATTAAATTTCTATGGAATAACTGGCAAAGCTAATGAATGGATCAAATCATACCTCAAAAACAGGTATCAAAGAGTTGAAATAAATAATAAAAACTCCAGTCATAATGCATTTTCAAACTGGGGAATTATAAAGCACGGTGTTCCACAAGGATCAATTTTAGGTCCCTTACTTTTTCTTCTCTACATAAATGATCTATCTAAAACCATCAACAATAAATCTAAACCAATTCTATATGCAGATGACACTAGTATAATATTTAAGAACTCTAAATTTGACAACTTTAAAAATGACATAAATATTGTATTTGAAGCCTTAAACAGATGGTTCGAAGCCAATTTACTCTCATTAAATTTTGATAAAACCCATTACATATCATTCACAACTAAAAACAACCACCAAATTGATCTGGACATCAGTTATGCCAACAAATTAATCTGTAAAGTACTTGATACAAAATTCCTTGGAATACATGTAGACAGTACACTGTCTTGGAAAATACATATTGAACAAATTATACCTAAATTAAATGCAGCTTGCTATGCGATGAGATCAATTAAGCCTTTTATGTCACAGGAAACATTGAAGATGGTTTACCATGCCTACTTTCATTCTATTATGAACTATGGATTAATATTTTGGGGGAACTCTTCACATAGTGTAATAATTTTTAAAATACAAAAGAATATAATTAGAATCATTACAGGATGTAGAAGTAGAGATTCATGTAGAGAATTATTTAAGAAATTAAAAATTCTACCTCTTCAATCGCAATACATATTATCGCTTCTCCTATTTGTTGTTTACAACAAAGATAAATTCAAATTAAATTCTGATGTCTATAACATGAATACTAGACAAAAATATAACTTCCACCTACCCTCATCAACTTTATCAGTATATCAAAAAGGAGTCTACTTTACTGGCATAAAAGTGTTCAACAATCTGCCACAAAGTATTAAAAACTTGGGCAATGATACTAAAAAGTTTAAATCAGAGTTAAAGAATTATCTACATGCTCATTCCTTCTACTCTTTAGATGAATACTTCAATGTAAATAGAGAATGATGTAAAATTAAGTTATATTAATTTTTAAGCTAAAATTGCCTGTACTTATGTATGTAACCTTTTGACATGTTCTGTATCCAAAGGTACTAACCTGCTTAGGATTTATAGAATGTAAATAAATTCAATTCAATTCAATTCAATAAATTTGCTATAACCGTCTCAGGCAATGAAACATGTCAGTACTGAGTCAAAAACTATTATTTTGGAGATATCCTCTGTCTTCATTAGGATTGACAGTAATGATGGAGACAGAGGAGACCTCAAGTATGCTGGGTTTTAACTCAACATTAACACGTCTTATCACACAAGAAGATTTTAGAATATTTAGTTAATTAGTTAGTTTAAATACCGAGTCAGTAGGTTGGTATGTTTGTACTTATTTTAGTTGTTTAGTTTCTCAGCTATGAATATCATGACACTGTAATCAATGAAATTCTACTTCCATGGAAGTAATTTAATCAGACAGGAACAATAGTAGCACTAATCATTTCCAGATCCTTAAAATTCACGTAATCACAGATCTTTGAAAATTGTGTTGTATATGATAAAGCGAGGTGAAATGGAAGTGCCACATGCTGACTATTTACTGTATTCCCTGATGATCATTTTTTCTGGGCATGCAAAATTTCATATGATGAAGTAGAACCATGTATAAATATTCTCAATGAATTACAAGTACCGTATTTACGCATGTATAGGCCACACATTTTTTGCCAAAAATTCAAGAGGAAAACTGGGGTGCGGCTTATATTCGAAATCACACATCATTTAAAAAAATATATATTCATAATTAGTAATACAGAGTGTTCAAAGATCGAGGAAACCGGGGCAGCAGCGTAGAGCGGATGAAACGTTTCTCCGCGACTACTGTGCCCCTCCCCTCTAGCGAGAGTGCAGTCGTGTCGCTGATACCCTTACATCAGTTTCTGTACATGCACACATTTATAAGAATACTGTAAAAAGATAACACAAACCTACCGTGCTTTATAACAGGTGCTGAAAGTGACCCCCTTCTGCTTGCAAACATGCTTCGCATCGCATGAATAAGTTATGCGACACTTTCTGAAGTTGGTCCACGGTAATTGAACCCTATTACTGTTCATCACTTGACTCGTTACTGTCGATGTCGCTCTCGCTCGAAGTTTCGCTGTCAGGTGATGTCAGCCATACAGCGTCATCTTCAGTCCCGTCCATTGCGTTGGAAATGGATGTGACTTTAAAACTTTTGGAAACCATTTCTTCTGGTATGGTGTTCCATGCAGCCACAATCCACTCACACATTTGACTTAATGAAGGTTTCTTCAATCGTCCAGTCGGCGTCATCTCCGTGGAACCGCATCTCCAGTCCCGGTAAAAGCGCCGCAAATGAGACTTGAAAGGACGGTTTATTGACACGTCAAGTGGTTGTAACATGCCAGTCATCCCCCCTGGTATCACAACCATATCACTTTTCTCCTGCCTCATCTTCACTTTCACATTTTCAGTTAAATGGCTTCGAAAACTGTCAACCACTAACATTGACCGCTGACGTAAAAGTGCGCCTGGGCGCCGAAACCACACTGATTTCAACCAATCCAGATAGAGCTCTTCTGTCATCCATCCTTTTTCTTGAACTCTCACCAAAATTCCCGGTGGAAGCTTTTCTTTCGGCAATGTTTTGCGTTTGAAGATTACAAATGGTGGTAGTTTGTTTCCATCAGCAGTGATACCAAGCATTACGGTACACCGCTGCTTTTCTGCTCCTGCAGTCCGCACATGCACTGTTTTTTCGCCTGCTTTGTTCACTGTACTTTCACCCGGCATTTCAAAGAACACAGGAGTTTCATCAACATTTCCAATAGCTCCCATGGTGTAGTTGTGCGTCTTTCTTAATTTCAGGACATGTTTTTGAAATGCAAGCAGTTTCTCCTGGTATGTGTCGGGAAGGCGCTGCGCTATTGACGTCCGTCGCCGAATTACAAGATCATGTCGGGCCATAAAGCGCCTTGCCCATCCATAACTTCCCTTAAATTCATTACGAGGAATTTTCATTCTGTCCGCTATTTTGAGGCCTTCAAATTGAATCATTTCCACAGACACTGAAAATCCATCCGCCCGTGTATTACGCACGTATCGCAAAAGTTTATTTTCAAGTTCTGGAAATTTAGCTTTCTTTCCGCGGAAAGATTGTCGATTTTGTGACGTTTTTTCAAGGGCATCTTTCGTTAGTATCCATCTTCGCACATTTTTTTCGTCAACGTCGAATTTTCTCCCTGCTGCTCGATTTCCGTGTTCTTGTGCGTAACGCACCACTTGAAGTTTAAATTTAGACGTATAACCTGCTCTTACTCGACCCATGTTTCACTCAGAACTAACCAGGCAAGTCAAGTAAAGGCGAAAAGGTTATAACTCTCCCCCGCAATGCCTTTGTTCCGAGCGGTACCGTTATTTTCGCTAGTTGCGAACTTAGGAATGTTAAACGTTGCCAAATTTCGGAATAATTTCTACTCCTGAAATAATATTCTAAGAAAATTATTTTTTCTATAATTTCTGTCTGAAAATTGTGCTGCAGCCTATACACGCACGCGGCCTATACATGCGTAAATACGGTATATTATATTTGTATATTAATGTGCACTTTAAAATATGTCATCTTTGGTTCATATTTACAGTTCTTAGCAAACTGAATATTATCGAACAGCAGAAGACTTATTAACTACTCAAAAACGATATTTGATGGTCTGTTTGGCATCATTATGGACATTCTTGAACTGGATGGTGTCCAGTAGCAGGTTCTTGTGAGAAATGCAATAATCTTTCGAGCTCTGAAAATTCTGGGAATTTCTTGATTAGATGAATGACTGTCAGCTTCTAAAAATGGATTAAGGTCTATGGAATTAGTGAAGTATGGTTAGAAATACAAAACACTAGTTAATATTTATACTTACAATAAGAGTTACCGCTCCATTTTGCTTGAGGCACAATGCAAATGCATAAGCATTTTCACACCTGTCTGGGCCTTTACCTTAATAAAGACAAACAGGAAAGATAATGTCAAAGGGTTCATAGTCAGATGCAAGTAAAGGCTTCCACAACCAGAATTAATATTATTTGTCATGGCTACTGGTGATAAATCATCATTTTCTTGTTTAAATAAATTGCATATTTTATTTTGGGTTGGGTTTTAGCCAGAGTTAATATTGTGACATGTTTGCTAAAAGCCAAGCTACTTTAATGAAAAGAGTTACCTGTTACTAGTTTATGGAACAAAAAACAGTGATGCAACAATGGAATGGGAACAGTGTTCTCCTTATAAACTAAATTCACTTTAAAATAATTAAAGAACATAGTCACACAGCATTTATCATGCTCCATAACAAATCAAATCTAATTCAGCTACAGTATGTTCCACTCCAATCTATCCATTCTTTGCACAAAATACATAAAATAAACGCATACTGGGGAGGGCTTCTCTATATGTCTGTCCATAAGTTTCATTGCCAAAATTTGATAATTTTTTTACAATGTGGGATTTGGCTTTATATATATTAAAAACATTTTATTTAAAAGCTGCAGATTTCAATGGCCCTAAGAAAACATGTTGGATTTAACAATTTAAATTGTAACATGACTCTGTTGTCTTGTTGATTATATAATATGACCTTTCTACCAAGTAGCAAACCTTGGTTCTCAATCATATGCTTGGGATGCTGCTCTGCAAATGCTCCACTAAAACTTTCTTTTACAGAATTATCCTTTATATGTGCAATTATTTTAGTAATTTCTCTGCTCTTAAATCATTAGAAATACCAACTGTAATAACCAGCAGTTCATACACAGACATGAAGTAAGCTGTGAATTAGTCTCTTGTGTTACCTTTCTTCTCACATTTATTGATGAGGCCTGCTGCTTGTGTCTTCAGTGAGTCTGTAGGAATCACATCTAGAAATTGGGCTACCATAGCAGTTTCAACTTTGTTATCTATGAGCTGAAATGAATATACACAATAGCTATTTCAAACAAAATGAATAAAACTTGTTAAAATTGTCACCAGCAAATATACATGTCAGGTACCAACAAATAAATATTTCTTGCAGTAAAATTGAAAGTAAGTGGAGTTTTAATTGTTCAGAATGGTTCTTGGGGGGGGCACCAAGTTTCCTGTCCTGTGAATAACATGGGTTTTTCTCCAGAGATAATTTAGCCAAAGCATGAAGCTGACCTCTCAGGTCAGTCTTGTGCTGATGTTAAGATGCCCCTTTTCCTTTTTCAGCCTACATGGTGTGATTAGTCAGAGACCCATTGAATATAAATGTTTTTAAGGATTGTATCCTGTTGCATATATACAATGAACATACACAATTTTTACCATCAACGCAACAATACTTTATTATTTATCAATTTATTATTTATATAGCACACACTACATGTTTTGACCTCAAACGGGTCATCTTCTAGTGCTGCAACTTTCTCACAGTTCGGTAATGGTATGTGAGAAACTTGCAGCACTTAAAGATGACCCATTTGAGGTTGAAACTTGTAGTGTGCGCTATATAAATAAATAAATAATAATGTATTGTTGGATTGATGGTAAAAATTGTATATGTTCATTGCATATGAATGATTGCAAGTTATGTTAATGCAACAAATAAGCCTCATGACATAGATTTTCACAGTTATAGGAAGGTTTCCTGTGCTCCAGGATTGTGTTTCTCAGCTGATCAACCATGGCTTCATTTATATCAATCAGATATTATGTTACCACGACTGAAAGAAATGCTATTTTACAATTAACAATATTTCCCATTTCTTTCACTGACTGTATCAGACATTATACTATTAACCATGGCGGGGAAAAAATTATTTTACAATTAACAACCAGTGCTCTTCTGCATATAACAACTAAACAGTTTGTGCTGAACAATCTACTCTTTTAAGACTAACACAGTTATGATTATTATTCCTTCTTCTACATACAAACAGGGCATTCTTTTAATTCTGTAACTTCAGTGGATGTCATTATGACATCTCTTCAATTTTAATTCGCATATAAAATGTTGATAGAAAGTTATAGATTGTAAATAGACAAGTTTAAATGCACTAGTAACAGCCAGATTAGTAAACTACAACTTGTACTGTACAAAGTGAGACAGATGCTAGTTCATAAATAAAGAAAGGTTACATTGTAATGCTCTCTCTAAAGTCAACACCTAAGAGAAAAGATTGCGACTAAATCTGTGGTTGAATTTAAGAATAAGTTACAATACACTCAACTAAATAATAGAAACACTGTTGGAGATGATCTTTCCACAAGCAAAGAATGAAAGCATTATATTTAATGAATAGATATTTCAAGTTTAATAATATATTACTAAATTTTGGATGCTGAATGAATATGCTTTAAATGTAAAGATGACATAAAATATTTCCACCTAAGATTATATGTATTAGGACTTGTATTAGAATACCAAACAATGGAAAAAGTCCAAAACTCCAGTAATTCTTAATATTAATTCTTAATATATATTCTTAATGCAGGCTTTTGTAAACATGGAAATGAACCTTCAGGTATCATAAAAGAAAAGTAATTTCTTGACTAGCTGAGTGCCTATAAGCTTCTCAAGAACAAATCTGTTCCATGAAGTAGTCTGACTAACTTATTGACTGACAGACTGACTGAGTGGCTGACAGTCAGACAGTCAGTCGGTTAGCCAACCAGCCAGACAGCCACATAATAATAAATTTCATGAGCGAATTATGTATGTTCTTCAATTTAATTTCCTACCACACAAATATGTTTTTTCTTTCTCCACGTATGGTAACAAACAAAATAAATAACAGACAGCTGTAGCTAGGCATATGAAATTGTATGGTGGAAGATCATTGACACATTCATAAATTCTATGTTAAATATGTTTTTGGATCTTCACAATTACAAACATGATGATAAGCTTGTAAGATTTGAGGTTTTCATGATGGTGGCTATGAAGAAAGCAGTCTTCTGGGATGTGGCGCTGTGTAGATGTGGTGATGATAAGCTTGACGGTGGTCAAGCATATGACCTCTCAAGTGATTATGCAGCCATTGTAACATTAACTACTTGAGTTAGGGAATGATCTGCTATGCCAAGCCTAAATTTACAGAGGCCTTGTATATATGGTACACACATATATTCTAGAGTTGTAAGTACTCATATGTATGTAAGGGATGGGCCATAAAAACCGGCCCCCACACTGCAACCTTCAATGATCTATTGTGCTTATAGTCTAGAGTTACATGTAAAGCCGTAAACAGTAGGTATCCACAAGGAACATGACTCTTTACAAATGACTATATAGAATGACAATATGTACAATTGTAAATATGGATGACATATACTGCTGATTATTACTGCGATAAATGATGACCTGCACTCTCATCAGGGAGGGTGCCCCATATCAACAAAACCGCAACTGTTGCCAGAAACAAAAACTGATCTTAGATCCTAAGAGGGGTTTGACACCAAGAAAATTCAGCTGTTAGGAAGAAACTATAATTAATTGGTCATTACTTTAAGCTTGTAGTATTCTGGGTTATGACATCACAGAGCTTCAAATGTGGTAAGTAATTTGTCAAATATGAAAATTACTCACCAAAAAGAAGTTTTCCAGTATGCATGCAATAGCACATTTAGAGTTCCTGTCAGCAGCAGAACGTGAAAGAAGTAATGAGCTCATTATCTTCACTGGAATAAAATAGTGCAACTGTTACAACATACCTTAGGGTGTATGACACATGGGTGAATTTGGAACAACAGTATATTCATCTTTATCTCCTGGTTAAACTGACACCAGTATGGTTAATAATCTTGCACATTTGAAGTCAAGAGATTACATTATATAAAATGAGATGAAAATATGGTGTAGTAAGTCACTAGAATTAACAAAATCTTCTCAGGCTATCAGCTATGTCGGTTAATTAAAAATTATCGATGTTTCAGAGACTATCTTTGTCCCTGTCATCAGAGTCTGATATGACATAGGATCCAAACCATCTAATTCATATGCCAACCCATGGCCCATGACTGTAACTGTGCATAAGCTATTTTGAGCTAGTGGGGGGGATCATAAATTTACTAGGCTTGGTTTCTTTCTCCTGATCGGCATGCTAGGTCACTGAAATCCTTGGGGATAACATCTGTGTTGGTATGAAGGAAATGTTAGGCTTTTAGGACACTGTCTCTGTCTTTACATATGAGAGTGATGTGCAGAGATTTCTGAAGCAGCAAACAGCTCCTGGTAGTGAAGACAGTCTCCAAAAGAAAATGTTTTTATTTCTTGGTGCTGGTAGCTGATCAGTCAAATATTCATTGCATTTAATCAATATAAAAACTATAAACCTCATAAGTTTGTGAGGATCTGAAAGGAGGAAATCATATCCTATTTGAAGCTACTATTCTGGCATTTACAGGGCAAGACTGCAGAAAATTGTGAAAATCCTCTATCACTACAGCAGTCAGCCTAGCCAAGATTCAAAGTAAATACTTCTAGGATAAAAACAGAGGATGTCAGCAGGAAGGGCTGATCATTGTAGTTGAGTAGTTAGTGCTCCTACTTCATATTTGGGATATCCCAAGTTCAAATTTTGGCTCAGAGGCTAGATATGCTTCCCTGGAGCTCTCCAGGACAATGTGGTGACAAGTACCTTAAAATAGCGCATGAGTGCTATCTTCAGCATAGTTCCCAGTTCATAATTCAAACTTAGCCTACCACCTTATATTGTATAACCTATACAGAAATGTTAAATACACCAAGAATCAACCATTTTTTCAACTTATCTTAAGAATAATCTATCTAATTAAATGTGGATCAATTTTAATAACTTTCCCTAAATGCATCAATCACTTTCTAATCATTTTCTAATACACAGAAATAATTAGACTCTTTCATCACAGTGAATAAGTATGAGCTTTACAAATTGTGAAAGTGGAATAAACCATGTCTTTACGTGTGCTTCTGTGGAGGAAAAAAGAAAGACATTATAGGAGTTTTTTTTTTTTTTCAAAATAAATGTCACTTTTTTCATAAGTGCAAAAATAATGGAATAAAGGGGCACTAATTGTGTTCCTCAATCAAAATGCTTAGACAGCTATGACATATGTTACAAATTAAACAATAAGTCATGTACCAAAATGAAGAAGCTGTGGCCAATTTTTAAACACAATTTAATTAAAGTTTTTCCCCAACATTTCTATGCTACATAATATTTACACAGATAACAGCCTGAGTCTCCAAAGCGTGGACTCATCTTATCCCATGAAGTGGTTTGCTAAGAATACAAGGCTTACTGGACCCCAGAGCCAGTCTGGACTTTGTTAGTGAAGTAAAAAATTCCCTGCTGGAAATGGGATCCCAGTCATGCAGCCCATGGCCAGTTTCTTCATTGAGATGTCCTGATAATGGATTTGTTAATAAAATAAAACCAATTTACCACTCTGGAATTGTTAGGCCATGGGATGTGATTCAACTTACCCAAACTAACTCTATTCTCCTTTGCACAATCCTGTGCCACTTCAAGGCCATATGATGCCAAATCTGAAATCATTTTCACCTCATTCTCTGTGGCCTGTTCAGAAAGAAACATGACCATTTTAATTGCAATGACCATACCAGCAGCCATGGCCTGTGCAATAGTACAAACCAAAGGCTCTACCTGGGGTGGCACTAACTCCGCTCTTATTTAAAACACAATTAATTGTTCGTTTATTTTGTTCACATCCAGAATATTTATTGGCCATCACATAAATAACATGGACAAAAATGTAAACAAGACTGTGAAAGTATAGTGAAGAGAGGGGGTACTTCATACACACCTAACTGCTACAGAATGTTCCTTATTGAGTTTCCCTGCAAATTGTGATTGGACCAATGCTCCATATTCAATAATCATCCTATCACTGATGTTATATAATCTGATACTGACAGCATCATTAAATTAAAAAAAAATCGTAAAATTCACCAGTATCAAATTTCATTAACATCCATCCAGCATTTTTCGAATTCCATATGTTCAGATGAATGGACTAAGCATTCAATAGAGGGTGGGAATGCATGTAATCAAACTCTTAAACTGCAATGAAGGAAAATCTGATTCATTAGCAAAGGCTGCAGATATAAGGAAAAATGGGAGGGGATGATGAGAGTAACAAGAAGCTTCTTTTGGCATTTCACTTTTGTATCTACTGGATTCCTTTGATGTTGGTAAGTTAGTTCCAGTGCAGTGTAGCATAGTACACATACATACTTGAACCCATGGGCATGAGTTCAACCCAGGTGAATTGTGGTATAAGATGAACTGTATGTAATTAGCCAAGGTTTCTCTTGGGGTACAACAAGAGGATGAATACATGGCATGTCACTGCTATGTATATCAATCAATCACAACACATTTATGTATGTATGTATGTATGTATGTATGTATGTATTTATAAATAAACAAGTGAAGATGCAAGAATTATTGATGAAATCAGTACTTACACTAAGAATACTCACTATATGTTTTGACCACATATGGTCACCATCAGACATTTTAAAGATATTAAAAATGTTGTTAACATATATCACTTGACTGTTTATTACAGTGGATCCATTGTTATTAATCCCCGACTTATACAACCCATTCCTCAAGATATGATCTAGCAAATTATATTCAGTTGAAATAATTAGTGTAGATAAGTCTATGATATAGTATTGTCAAGTGTATCAGTGACTAAGGATGAGGTTTGGATTAGTAATTTGATTTCTTTATCACTTACAAGTCATAACTATAATAATTACAACACTGTTACTGATTTTCACACTACAAAGCACTCCACACTACTCTCCTCAGTCTATCTCCACTAGTCTTCATGGATTTACAACAGGAACAGGAACAGTCTCATTAAATCACACACTCCCAATACCGATGTACTACAACACATGTAATAAGTATTCTTGTGGCCACAATGCTGTTCCCTTGAAGTCCATCTATTGATCACTCCTCCAGCTTACGACTGACTCATAACTCATAACTGCCCTGAATGACGTCTGTCAATTACTTATACCGCAGAATGGACATGGACCTACAGTAAACACATATCATGTGATAGATATCCAGCCTATCTATTGGTGTATCAGTTGGATCTACAGAAAACACAGCTTCCTCAACTGTTGCGTGTTGAGCCATTTTTACACAGCTCTTTCCTGGCAACGCATTGATCAAATCCATTAGAATATGAACTAAAATTAGAAGTTAAAACTTAATCTTTAGTTAGCTTTGTACTGGGTTTTTAGTGGAAGGGGTAGGGAGAATTGGGTAGGATGGGTGGTGGGTGTTGAATTACTACACTGTATAGGGTATGTATTTTGTGGGGTGTGGGTGCTATATATGCGATATATGTGATATATGTGTCTATTGTAAACGGCTGGGTACTGTGAATTCCAGATATATATTCTGTATCATTGACTTTGTGCTAAGACAGATGATTGGTCCTCTGAAACCCAATGCTAATTAATCAGTTTGTAATCAGAAAAAGTGAGCCATTAGATAACAGTATCCACTAGGGTCATAGCTGCCCTCACAGTTGTAGGCCCTCTGTATTTCTCAGCTTAGCACCTGCCTGAGACAATTTTCATTTCATGCATCCCATGCTGTTACAATATACAACCTCTTTATTAAACATCACAACACAACAAATATCAAGGTTAGTGCCCAGCTACGGCTCTGCTACGTGTTTCGGCTATNAATATATATATATATATAGAATATTCCAATTTGTCCATGGGAAAGTACAAAAATACAAAACCAACCACTGATTCGATGTTATAAAACATCAATTAAAATTTTATTCTTGTTTNCTGTTTATATTGTCGTTGTGTACATTCCCTACAGTACGGAAAACACTTTTTAAGATGAGGCACCAGCTAAACAATTAACATTAATTTACTACATCTACATCACAAGCCTCCTACAAAATCTTATATACAAAAAGNTGATGATGGCTATTGATAGCCGAAACACGTAGCAGAGCCGTAGCTGGGCACTGACCTTGATATTTTTGTGTTCTGATGGTAAATAAAGAGGTTGCCTGAGACAAGATGGATGTGAAAGACAATAGGAAGTAGTAACAGCATTGCATGAAAGTGCTAGAGCAGCTTTTAATTGCACACTCTTTCCTGGAGTCATCTACTCCTCCTCTATCTACCTGGTTACACACATGGCAAAGCTGAAAGGCCCTTTTTGGGGGGGGGGGGGAAATTTTCATTGTGAACATACTAATAAACCAAGGAAACGAAGTGTAAATAGAATATGTAAACAAAGTATTAATTTTAAGATATTGCAAGCCAATGGATTGAGGCCAAAATCAGGTATCTGTAAAATACAGGGCTTACTTTTCTGTAGGAGGATACATGACATGTATATAGTTTTCTTTCCAATAAAAAACTTGGCTGCTTTAAAACTTACAATTTCAGATGAGAGAATAGTGATGGAAACCAAAACTGCAAACAAGGCCTTCATTTTGCTTCCTTTCAGTCTGGTTCCTTGATGCTGTGGAATTCATTCTATATGTCACTTGTATTTATATACAAATATGTCACAGAGAACAAGATCAGTGTGTACTTTTGTAATGTTGTCTCTGCATGGTTAACTTTGCAAAAAATGTAATTTGCGCATCACATCAAGCTATATGTTCCCATTTTTTACAATAAATATTAGATTAAGCAGAACATTACATCACAAATATAATGTGACAACACTGAATGACCCTGACATATACAAATCACATCAGTATAGTAATAATAGCAGAATACCACAATTCCAAAACATGCTACAATATATCCTCCTTTTTTTCTTTTCTTGTCTAGATAATGTGGGACCCTCAACGTCTCACAACCCTATGGGCCTCCAGGGCCTGTTACAGGGATAGCTTCACATTTTTTTCCTTCTCTCTTTGAAAGAAGATATAAATGAAGTTAGGCTGAAAAGACCATCTTGCCAGAAACTACAATTTTACAGTACTCTTTATTTATCCATGTATAAATTTAAAGCTTTTTCTTTTAACTGTACTTGAAATAACTATATACTAATTCTGTTTTAACATAAAAAATTTTAGCATCCCTGGTTGGACTTACCATAGTATCAATTTAATTATATTCTTATATCAATACTCTTGATATATCATGCTACTGGGATTACTGCTTCTGGTAACATTCAGTGTAGAATGGCTTCAGTACAATATGATGGAAATATTTTATGTGTTATTAAGTCATCTATCATAGGAACTCTAAATTCCTTGAATAATTTAAAACTGCCATAGGATGTGATTTATAGTCTCTTTGGTTTCACCACATTCACACATTTCTATATTAATGACATGAAATTGAATATAGTACTTTTAGATAATAATGGCCACAACTTATTCTGTTTATTTAGATATATCTTGTAAGATTTGAGGCTTTCACGGCGGTGACTATGAAGAAAGCAGTCTTCTGGGATTTGGCACTGTGTATATGTGGTGTTAACCGACGTTTCGGAGGAACGTATCGCCTCCATCTTCAGGGTAGAAGAAAAAATATAAGAATTCTGCAAGCGAAGAGACTGTGAGAACCGGTAAAAGCAGACTGTGTGGGGATATACACAGCTATGTGAGAGCAGTGAGGGTGAAGCATTCAGCTTCAGAATACCTCCATCCTCGCCACCAAGACCCGCTATATGGATCGCATCATTAGGGAGGCCATTGAGATTGAACTGCATCCAGGAAATATGAACAGAGAAGGGGGGTTTGTCTCAGCAAGTCTTGGAAACCTCTCATCTGTTCTCTTAAAAAACGCCCACCGGGATATGACGCCAGATCCAGAAGGCCACACAGGCCATGACCAACCAACATAACAACCCCCCCCTCAGCTTACAGGTTGTGCCCAGCCTTTAACCTTGCTTTCTCTCCCCTACACAAAAACCATGCTTGTCCCAGCTCCCTTTCCCCTACCCCTCCCACACTACTGCTTTCACTTGTATACTTGCCCATCCCCCTTCACCCTCACTGCTCTCACATAGCTGTGTATATCCCCACACAGTCTGCTTTTACCGGTTCTCACGGTCTCTTCGCTTGCAGAATTCTTATATTTTTTCTTCTACACTGAAGATGGAGGCGATACGTTCCTCCGAAACGTCGGTTAACACCACATATACACGGTGCCAAATCCCAGAAGACTGCTTTCTTCATAGATATATCTTCTTCAAAACTTCAATCTGTGGACACAAGGTATTTTGGCAGTAGTTCTAAAAGTACTTCCTTTCTGTTTTCCTGATTCTCTGTACCATTCCTTGGCTGCTACTCTCAGTTTGGACTTCCAATAGGTGAAGTCTGTGACAGGAATCAAGTATTGAGCATCTTCACCTTTTTGAATGCTCTCCTTTCCTGACGCATCTGCTATTTCATTGAGGACAACTTCCATATGTGCTGGGATCCATACAAATTTAAGATACTTTTATGTATCTTCAATGTCAGTACCTCTCCTGTAAACATTGATGCAACTTTGTAGTTTGATATTGATATCTATTTCTCCAGATGCTGTCACATACAAGAAGCCCACGAATTCCTGGTTATACATTTCTGAGCCGTAAGTAAAATAACTACCTCCTTTCTTAGGTATTCGACGTTTTCGTTTTGTTTTGTTTTGTTTTGGGGGGTGGTCAGTTGCTGCCATCAGGAATTGCCTTGGCTTCTTTGGCATCCTTGAAGGAAACGCTTCCCAGCATTTGAGAGGTCTGACGTCCTTTGCTATCAGATGGCCAACTGGTTGTGTCTACATAGGTATCCAAGGTACCTTGCCTCTGAGTAATTTTGTGGGGTCTTCTCAAACCCTTGCCATGTGTTGCAATAATCTTATTACTGGAGGGTCAGGGTTGCTAAGAGCTCTGGTTATATGAGGGTAAGTCAATAAGTAAGTTACAAATGTTATATTTTAGCGTCCTGTTGCACTGATTTAAGTCCATGATTTATTTAATCCGTCTTGCAGTGCATACACTCATTTATCTCCTTCTCTCCCTCACACTACATATTTCGGCATAATAATGCCATCTTCAGGTGCTTACTTATCCACGTCAAACCAGTTCATTGCATGCCATGTTCACACATTAAAATAACTAAAATATGTATCTATTATGTACATTGTCAAACGTTAAAAATATTAAAACTGTTCAGGATACCATATCGCTACGTCGCCCCTCACTACGTCAGTCACACACATACCCAGGAAGCCCAACAGTATAACACACGCAGTAGCAGGAGCACGACACAACAAAAGCACAACACACAAGATAGTGAAGGAGTGCTCCAACAAAGGAGAATGGGCATGACTGACGTAGTGAGGGGCGACGTAGCGATATGGTATCCTGAACAATTTTAATATTTTTAACGTTTGACAATGTACATAATAGATACATATTTTAGTTATTTTAATGTGTGAACATGGCATGCAATGAACTGGTTTGACGTGGATAAGTAAGCACCTGAAGATGGCATTATTATGCCGAAATATGTAGTGCGAGGGAGAGAAGGAGATAAATGAGTGTATGCACTGCAAGACGGATTAAATAAATCATGGAAGTAAGTTACAAATTGATATACAACTTAAACAAATAAGAGTACTGATTTGAAAAATGCTTTTATTTCTCAACATAATCTCCCTGTACATCATTTCACAAGCCCCTGAAAACCAGCAGCATAAAATTCTGTGGGCTGCTGTCGGATCCAGGTGGTGACTTCCCTTTGTACAGCTTCATCGTGGGGAAAATTTTCAGCCAAAAGATGATGCTTAAGAGGGCTGAACAAATGGAAGTTGCTTGGAGCAAGGCTCATCACCTGTGACAATTCAGGCTAGCATATTGTGTCCTTCATCATGGTAGCGATTGAGATGCTGTAATGCCAGACCCATTCTTTGCATTTGTGTTATTGGTTCAGCATGCGCGACACCCATCGTGCACAGATTTTGTGAAAACATAACCTGTTGTGCATTATGAAGTAGGCCATGCCATGTGAACAACCAATAGCAGTGGCTATAGTGTCTATAGTTACCCTTATGTAGGGAAGTCACCGCCTGGTTGACAGCAGCCCAAAGAATTTTATGCTCCCGGTTTTCAGGCGCTTGTGAAACGATGGGACAAGTGCCTCAGTATACAGGGAGATTATGTTGAGAAATAAAAGAATTTTTCAAATCAGTACTCTTATTTGTTTAAGTTCTATATCCATTTGTAACTTATTCATTAACTTACATATAATTGCTTCCTAGGAATTTTAACCATAATATTTAATATTATTGGAGATATTTTAACCTCTGCTAGCCTAACATTTTTGGGTGTCGTCCTCATACATCCAAAATCTAATCTAATGGCTTTACACAGTACTTTTTCTAGCAAATCCATCTGACCTTTGGTGAGGGAGTGAAAAACTTCCATACTGGATGCATGACCTGATTAGAGCTGCGTATAACTGCAGGAGTATTGTGGGGTTCACTCCCATCCATCTGGTTTGAATGCAGCTAACAATTTCCATAGGTTTAATGCACTTTCGCCTAACGGCTTCTGCTTGAAGATTCCATTTTAGGTCAGCTTTAAAGTATATCCCTAGGATCCCTACTTTTCCAGGTGCAATCTTCTTGCCATTAATACACATATTAATCATCCACTCCTTTTCTGTTCAAGATCTCTTGTTCTTAAATACGTATAATTTACATTTTTCAGGAACCAACTGTAATCTGCTGCTATTGAGATATTCTTTGGCTGAGTTTTCGAGTTTAGGTAGGGCTTCATCTAGACTTGCATCCATGACATATATAAGTACAACTCCAACTAGTTTGTTGTTGTCAAATGTGTTTACTGTGTCAGAATATATCAGTGATCGGCTATCCAGGCTGGATTTACTTTTCCAGAATCCAAACTGTAGGTCAGGTAGCTTTTTATGATGTTCTAGCCCCAGATTAGTCTGCAGTTTATTATTCTTTCTGGAATCTTCAGTAGGCATGGGGCCAGTGAAATAGGTCAAAAGTTCTTCCCATCTGCTTTTGGGATGAAGAAGTCTGCATATTGTTTTCATTCACTGGATCTCCAGTCTGTGGAATCTCACTGTATAAGACTAATAGTATTTTCTCATCACTTTTGGTATTTAATTACTTTGTAGTTGATGCTATCTAGGCCCAGGCTTGATTATAGTTTTGCACTATCGTTGAATTCAGTTCTTCTTTATATAATGGAATATCCAAGAAGGAATCTCCATTTACATTGTCTAATACTGGTGTTTCACTTTCTATCCAGGGAGGACACAAATTATCAATTCCTTGTTCCATTGCTATAGTTTTCTCTTCTTTGTATTTATTTGGTTATATTCCACAATTCCACATATTCTTAAGTTTGCTAATTTTCTCCCAAATATAAGATTGGCTTGTGTATTGATTGAGTTAAATTTCTTAAGGTATTCCTTTCCATTCTTTCTTAAGTCCGCTTTTAGCCGTAGCCTCCTCTTTCTTGTATATGAAGTTTTCCCATGTAGGAAATTCTTTTAACTTGAATACCGCTGCTCTTCTTCTTCCAATTAATAACTCTGAGCACATACTTAGTCGAGTAACCATACTTCTGACATAAGAATCCCAGGAAATATATTACATGATTCTTGTCACCAGTGACGCATCATCAGCTGCATGAACCATGTGACATAAACTAAGGATGTAGCACGATTCATTGCAGCAGGAAGTGATAATTACAATATTGGCATGGTGAGGTTATACAATAGTCATGACAGGTTATTCTGATTGGGATTTCAACCAGGTATCTGATGAAAGAAATAGAGAACAAGGATTCAGAATTATTACAATAAACGTGAAACAGCATGTAAGAATTATACATGGCTACAGCAATTATACAGTGACAAAGGTGCGACATTTATTAAAGTATTACAAAATTCATTACAATCATAGCACATATCTGTTTTTCTTTTGGTCAGTTGTTTCATCATCAGCCAGTCTTCACTAATTCTTGTTCTCCAACAGGCACTCCATCATGGTCTTTTCAAAGCCAAGCACCTGTTCATAAAATGAAATAAATCTTACCAGCTTTTATATCAGAGTTCAGGAGATGTAGCTCTTGCTGACCTTCATATATATATAATTAATTTGATATTTTACATTATATCTTATATAATAATCTGTTAATGTAAATTATTAGCCCACTTCTGCAAACTATGGGCAATAGACTCTGAGCTTGTGGGCTGTGACATCACAGTCCAGTAGATGTTAATATCATTTTGAACAAAATCTGCTGTCTCCATTTTCTACCCTGATGATGGAGGCAGCAGGTTCCCCTGATATGTGGTAACCATCTACACACAGCCAAGAAGGCAGCAGTTTAATATTCTGTCACAAATATCTCAAATCTGATGCAGAGAAGAAACTATATTCCTTTTTTTAAAATGCCTTATATTACAGGGGGGACCACCGAAATACATAATCAACGTTAGTGTCTGATGAAATTGGATACCTCAGTCAGTAAAGTACCTGTCTATAACCAGAAGATCAGGGTTAAATTCCTGGAAGAGGCCAGGATGTTCCTCTTTGTTTATAAATCCAGACAGTCTCTAAAGCCGCACCTGCCTCCTATACATTTGGAACCCTTCCACATTTTTTACGTTGTCTCCAAGCCACAGTGCATCTGGTATTCCAAACATTTACAGATTACCAGCTAACAAGGGCGTGAGCCTAATAGGTATGATGTAAGTAGCATACTTGAGATATCAGACAGCAAAAAACTATTTTGTATAGGTCAACTGGTATAGAGGCACTGGAATTAGGGAGTTTATAATAGACCATACATAAGAAATTGGCTTAGGATCATATCTAACAGTGGACTTCAGAATTAGTGATGTTGGATCTTTCGGTTACATTACTAGAGTGTCAGTTAATCAACATATGCCCAAGGGCTGCAATTCCATCTTTGTTCTGTTCTTACGTAGAAGTCACTATCACGAGTAGTCACCAATATAACCACCAAGCAGATAGTGGGGGGTACCTCTGCTTCAGTCAGGACTGTGGTCTTGACCTCTGCCAAAAACAAATTTCCATTGTGTAAGATTTGAGGCTTTCACGGCGGTGACTATGAAGAAAGCAGTCTTCTGGGATTTGGCACCGTGTATATGTGGTGTTAACACCACATATACACGGTGCCAAATCCCAGAAGACTGCTTTCTTCAAATTTCCATTGTTAATAGTATGCATATTCAGTACTTATGTAGAAGTCACTATCACGAGTAGTCACCAATATAACCACCAAGCAGATAGTGGGGGGTACCTCTGCTTTAGTCAGGACTGTGGTCTTGACCTCTGCCAAAAACAAATTTCCGTTGTTAATAGTATGCATATTCGGTAAAACTGAGATTACATATTGTAACATATTTAAACAACTCGTTGCCAAGCAATGGCTTGGTAAACAACCTCAACAACAGAGAGATGGTGAGGATTCACCCATAGGGTGTTAACCAGCGGGAAACGGAAGCAGAATAATCTCCATTGCCAGGATATGACTAGTGAAGACTGAAAACCCTAGTGTGTAACAGCGAACTGTATGTGTTGATCAGTGACAGCGCTCTAGTAAATGTGATTAAGAGAGATTATAACCAAGGTGCTAATAAATCTAATCATCCGAACTAGAACCCATCATTTTCGTCATGCATACCACCCTACATGTGACAAGATATAAGCACAGATCAATGGAGGATATATCTGTGGAAACTGCAGCTAGAAATGGGAACTGTTTATGTCAAAGATTCTATCATTTCTTGTACCTCATATAATATATGACTGCCTGCTAATAAAAGGGAAGATTACAAAATGTTCATCAGAAAAAATGAAGTGTATGGTAGTAATGTCAAATGACAGCTATTAATTAGGTTACTATAATGTGTAAGTCATTTTAATTTCTGCAGTTTTAATGATTTTAATAACTAGCTCAGCCACTGAATTGTCCTGGCCATGCAAATGTACAGCATGTCAGCTCTAAAATGTAAAGCCAGTATGCCACAAAATTAATGACATTTCTCTGCAAATGGTACCTGTCAATGTAACAGCAGTTGTTCCATCAGGCAAAAACTTTCTCCTTATCAATGCATCTCATAATTATGGCATTTCAAGTGCAGTCTAACAATATTTTCCAACTCATTAACAAATTTTATTTTATTCATTATTACTCATATTCCTTAATTTACTTGCCCATAAACTCTTCATGGCTTAAACAGTTATAATGTACCTCATTTTCATTTATGTGATGGAAATGCTCATGATGCATTGGGCCATATTTTAGAAAACAGTTTTCTGAATTTTGAGTTGCATCTAAAGATGATGTTTGTGTCCTTTATATTGTCACATGATAAGGTAACTATAGATGGGGTTTGGCTTGGTAATTGGATTTACTAAACACTTACAGTTCACAAACACAAGTACCTATAGCACTATCGTTAATTGAAACACTGTGCAGTTCACTACAGCACATGCTAAGTCTTCTCTGTAACTCATTGCTCCAACCGTCCTGTCTATAACATACTGGCACGGATCATACAGAAAACACTCTTCCTTTGTTGCCATGCAAACATGGCTTGTTCACAAAGCCATTATTCAGTAACAGCTCTTGTATTTTTGCTCACCTTGCAATCATTGCCCAACAATATGTTAATTTACGTGATACTGAAAGTTGTATAATATTATCAATATTTCCGGTAAATGTTGCCTGTGTCTTTTGGCTTCTAGAATGTGTAATTGGTTCTCATATCTGATCACTTCTCCTTCCAATAACCATTGCTCCAATTCAGGGTATTCTGTATGTCCTCTGTTACTTCAGTGCATTTCCAATCACAACATCCAGTCAACATGATACACATCTAAATCACTGAAAATAACAGACATGTGAAACACATTCAATAGAGTCTGGGTATATTACACAATATCAGATCTGCTTTTTGCCAGTCTTTTCATCTATTGCAAAGAAAATTATGAAAATGTCTATTCCTATCATCATTTTAGAATTCATCACTCAGGTGAATGTATATTTCCCCTTAAATACCATGCTACATTGCTGTGAATCACTTAGTTGTATAACATTTTTTTGCATTATTTTCTCAGTCAATAACATCCTGATATTTCACTAAGCACCTTATTCTGGTTTTCCTCGTTAGTTGAACTAACATCTCCATTTTCACTTAAATATGCACCTTCTATGGCTGTGATAAGTTTTCATTCAATTACAGTGTTGGAAGATTTCCATCTGCTGTTCACTGAAATCTCTGTCAATGATACTTGCAACTTAATTTATTTTCAAAAGCTTTAAAAGTTACTCATTTAATTCTTGATTCTGCTTCTCAATTTGCTTTTCCTTTCAGATGACCTGGATCTGAATTTTCTTCCAACACTGCAATCGCTTTTTAAAGCTTGACAGGTTTCTTTAAAAATTCATAACATTATTTTAAAACACAAGATCACAGTGACTGCATAGAACAAAAAATAATACACCTACATCCTTATGAATAACTGGGATTTGACATTAACTGATCAAATTTCATTAATTAACAACTGTGACCAGTGTAACAATTAGCAGTTTTCTCTCTCTCCTCTTACCTTCTACCTCCCTATTAGTAGCTACACAACAGCCACCTCACACCACTTCCTAGTGCCCCCCCACTGCTGTCAGTGACAGACAGACCATGTCTATTTAATATGCCCTAAACATTAATTACAAACTACGTGCATTAAATTATGACTAGAATACAGATCTTATGAAGAGTTCCAAATGTAAATTTGTAACCAAGCTGATTACATACAGAACTGAAACTCCGAACACTTTGCAATACATGCCATTTATATCCTTTAAAATAAAAAACTTTCTACCATGGGTCCAGTATAGGTTCATACCTCGTGAGGCCTCTACAGGCGTGTGGCCCTGGGCAGTCGCCCACACCCTTGGCTGACTATGGACACAATATAAAATTCTGATAGAGAATCTTCTTAGAAAGTGGTAACTTTAATGTTGTAATAAAATTCAGTTGTAATCTGTACTGCTTATTTTACTGACAGAGATGTTCCAATGGTGCACCAGAATTGAATTCCTCCACATCACCAAAACAGAGCTATATTCAGTCAAGTTTGGACCTGTATCAGATCAAAACTTCATGCCAGGTATCAGGGCTCATGGGATAATAAGTGTTACATATAAATCACAAAATATAACTTCATATACTTCACAAAAACATCATTCAAACGTTTTAAAGTCAGTATTAATTATTCAGTTTCAGCCATTGCTTTATTTAAAAAAAAAAACTATTTTATACAGTGTTGCCAATTTTGTTAAATGCTCTGTTTGGGGGGCTACGGAAAAGGCAGAGAACAAATGTGACAGAATTTTGGGTGTACAAACAGCATATCTACGTTCAACGAGCCAGCACAATATGATTCACAGTTCTTTCATCAGCTGCTATTTGTGGCTGTGCATATTTCTCAGATGTTACAGAAATTTACTGACAGTCCTGCAGTTAATAATATGATTGCAAAAAATGTGTATTACTGCACCTCTTAAACATTTTCATGTACGTCTGTCAATTGTGCTACCCATCACATGGTCCAAAAACGAAAACTTCCTAGCACTGTGTTATCTTATATGATACACTACTTATTTTTAGAATCACTGTGTCGTAGTCTCGAGTGTGATTCTTGCACTGTCAGTGACACCAACTTCCCCAGTCTTTCTCTGAGCCACATAAACAGTTTCCGTAGGGGAATAAGTGGTGATTCATATTCATTAGGAACAATGCCATCAACAGATGATTCAAAGAAACTGAAAAGTGGGAACCATATTCGAGTTCTATTTGAGTCTCTCTGCATCAAAGCCTGATTGTTAGCAAGTGTATGGTAATAGAGAAACAGACGTGAAGTAATGTAAAAGGCAACAAAAACATCAATTGAATAATGCTCGTGTGCTGATAAAATGAAGAATATGCCAAACATGTTAAGTAGCCATGTGAATGTATGGACAAAGTACAGATGTCGAGGTGTATCTGAAACAGAGTGAATACAAAGCATTAGACCACCATTCTGTGAATGAAAGTCATTTGTTAATTCCAAACAGATTACCAGTAAATGTCTGGTTATGAATATGTCTGATCTAATACAATGTTCAATGATCAACTCATCTCACTGCATTGCTCACTGGAAGCTAACCTGAAAAACTAGACACATATGTAATCTGAGAAAAATCAGTGAATCACAGGCAGATACCTTTCCGCACTTTTATGTAAAACCTTACAACTGTTAAAAAGTTAACACATTAAAGATACTGTCACATGTTGGGTTGGTAACGCGACAAGTAACTTCACGCCTTAGTGGATATAGTGAATTTTATTCCACATTCGCTCTTACAATCACACAAATTACAGATTCAACATTACTGCCATTGGCAGTATCACAAATACTGTACTGCAACTAACTTCTGGCTGACTCGGAACTAACTCGTAGGTAGCTGCCTTGAGAACTGTTGATAACACACTCGTTCATAGGCTTGCTCGGAACTAACTCGGAACTAAACTCAGCGATGGCCACATTACAACTAACTCTCGCAGGCAGCGCAGCTCTCTTATATAGTGGCTGTGTGTGCCTGTTGCGTGCCATGTCACAGTAGGAAGAGGTGCCGCGTCACCATGTTTGCATATAGCCTAGCAACGCTGTTACCACACGCCGACTTATGTCACCGCACGTTACGTTACCGTGCGGAGGGGGGGAGGGGAGCGCTGACTCATCCGCCACGTCACTGTGGCCTGAGTTGCCACGTTGCTGCTGGGTAGGGACGGGTTCTCCGTTGCGCAACATGTCACAATGCCATCTTCACCCAAATCTCTTTTGAGAGCAATAAATAACTAACCATACTGAAGATACCAAAAAAAATTGCCAGCATCATATTTTTAGCCTGCTTTACTTTCTATAAAAAGGCAGGCATATGGTATCATGTCTATGTGCATGTGTACCTGTTCTTCACCAGTAACATCCGAAATAGTGGACCTTTTTATGGTTACTTTATGGATGCTGTCAGCTAAGGCTACATAGTGTCACACAGTAGAATCAGTGAATGCTGAACTGGAGAGGATGCAGAAAGAACTGATTACAGCCTATGAGTACTTTGAGATACTATCCCAGCATTTGCCTAGAAGGACAAAGGAAAACCACAAGAAACCTCCAACAGGATTGCTGGTGTTGTGGCTGAGCTTTGAACTTTGCACCTCCCCTAATATAAGCCAGAAGCATTACCCCTTGAGTCAACTTCCTCGGTAACCGGTTAACAATTTTCATCACCTCTGAATTCCCTGCCATCAGTAATACCACATAACATTCTTGCAAACTTCTGAGATGGGTGTGACATCACACAATCTGTCACAGTAGTACAGTCCCCACATAAAATGTACATTTAGCTATGCAGTATTTATCACCATCTACACAACATACTATGTACTTCTAATTACAACATGTTTTGATCAAAGAGCCCATCTTCAAGTCTGTCCATACACAATTTTTGGAGTCATTATGTCCCATGTTTGGTTAACTTTCCCAGTGAAACCACTATAACTTCTTAAAAACAAATTCAGCATTACCGTGTATATTAATATTTGATTTCACAGAGCTCTCCAAATACTTGCATAAAACTCTGGTGTCTAAAAAACAATTTCAGTTCTCATCTCGTGACATTTCAAACGTGTCAGCCTAGACGTAACTTTCATACATTAAACTATTCACACAATGCCACTTTCAAATTGGTTAAATTAAATGTGCTTTAATCAGTATGTTTTAATAATATATTTTACCATCCAGTGCACTGACTATTCACTTATTCATCTTATTTATGCAATTTTCACAAATGTTAAATGACTCCATGGTTACTGCCACACCATCCTATTTCATTCAGGTGTTCCTATAATTAATACAACATGTTTCAGCAACACACAGCCATCTTCAGGTATACTGTACATTCTCTTACCAAGTGAAGCACTAAATAAATTAAAATTGATAAATATATGACTAAAATTTAAGTAGGTAATTTGTTATGGTGAATGAAAGGTGCTTTTTGGATGCTAGTGATTGGTGTGCCTCTTCATATATAGCAGGTGATGTTCATGGTTGGTGAGTAAGTCTGCACAGTCCTCACTCACCAACAATGAACTTCACATAGAATAAACAAGGGCCAACAAAAACCTCTGAAATCTACACCAATCACTCAACATCCAAAAATTACTACCTATCATCCATAATCATGTACACCAAACCAAATAAACAATGGACATTCACAACAGAATTACATCTGATACCCATGCAGGAGTGCACTACAGTATTCAACTTCCAAGAGGATAAAATGGATTATTTACTTCAATTTTGGTCATATCCTAATAAAGTTTAGCCTCTAATGTTTTACTTTGAATTTTAATTTAATAAGCACTTCATTCATTAACAGGACTATACAGCAAAACTTATGACATACCATATGATGGCCATCACGGATGGTCAAAATATGCTGTATTAGTAAAGAGAACAGCAAATGAAGTGTGGTTGTGGCAGTAACTGCAGTCACTGAACAATTATGAAAGTTGCATACATAAAACTGAAATACAGGTAGACCCAAAAAAATTTATACACCCATTCCACTGCCATTTTCATTGACTGACCTGCTATTTGATAAGGTGCCTCTGGCATTCATTTGACTACCATCATTTTGAGAGAATATCACACTACACACTGTACATTACATTTCATTTCAACTTAGTTGTTGTGTCAGTGGCCTCTGTAGTCTAGGGGTAACGTTCCCACCTCATGACCCAAGGTATGTGGGTTCAAACCCGGCGGAGGTCATGGAATTTTTAAGGGTGGAAAAATTCAGGGAACAAGTCCTCTGGGAGGGACTTTAAGCTGTGGGTCCCGTGTCGTAGGTTTATGGCATGTAAAAGATCCTCATGTCTCTAGGAGACCTCTGTGCAAAAAATTAGGCAAGTTTCCCGCCAAAGTAGTTTCCAATGCCTCCGGTAGATGGGGAAGTTATCGGGTACCACAGCCAGCCTCGCTGGCTGAACGAGGCTGATAGCGAGCACCAGTACCAGCAGGGTATGGCGACTGGTAGAATATCAAAGGGGGACGTACAATAGACTATTAGTCGTGGTGCATGGGGAAACCCAGCCCCTCCAATAATAATAATAATAATAATAATAATAATAATAATAATAATAATAATAATAATAATAATAATAATAATAATAATAATAATAATAATAATAATAATAATAATAATAATAATAATAATAATAATAATAATAATAATAATAATAATAATAATAATAATAATAATAATAATAATAATAATAATAATAATAATAATAATAATAATAATAATAATAATAATAATAATAATAATAATAATAATAATAATAATAATAATAATAATAATAATAATAATAATAATAATAATAATAATAATAATAATAATAATAATAATAATAATAATAATAATAATAATAATAATAATAATAATAATAATAATAATAATAATAATAATAATAATAATAATAATAATAATAATAATAATAATAATAATAATAATAATAATAATAATAATAATAATAATAATAATAATAATAATAATAATAATAATAATAATAATAATAATAATAATAATAATAATAATAATAATAATAATAATAATAATAATAATAATAATAATAAT